GCATTAACCCACAGTGCCACATAGGGTCTCAATAAGTCAGAACTGACTCAAGGACACCTAACAACAACAACTAATGCGCTGGGTGCTTGGGCATCTTTTATATTAAAATTAGAGAAGACCTACCAATGAATAAAGCATATTGCAACTCTAAGGAACATACGATTGTGCAAATTCATCTTTAAAATGCAACAGCATTTCTTTGCTTTACAAAACGAGATCACATAGAATGTTATTTTCTAAAATGCAGTTCGCAATGAGATTTTCAAGAAACATTCCACAATATTGACTGAGGATCCCTTAGAGCTCTAGGGTGAGCTGAGTACTAGGGACCCAAAGGTGAGCACATTGCGAATCATCTTACAGGGAAGAAGAACCCTCACGTGGTCTGTGATAAGGGTTGTGATAGAGGAGTAGACTTTGTCGTTGGAGGCATAAAATGAATTGTTGAGAAACAATGATGCAAACTGGGTTGCCATGACCTGAGTTCCTGAGGGCTATTAGTATTGCTAAGGAGTAATATTCAAGCAATTTGACTGAACTACACTGTGTGGCGCTGTGGGTTAATGCGCCAGACTGCAGAGCCATTTGAACTGCCAGGTTGGCAGTTCAAACTCACCAGCTGTTCCTAGGAAACCCTATACAGGGTCACTGTAGGTCGGAACCAACTTGATGGCACTTAACAACAACAACAACACTGACAACTTAATTAATGGTTATCAGGGCAGGCTTTGAAGTAAAAAAGATCTGGTATGGAAACACCAGCTTTCATAGTATGATCTTGAACAAATGACTTTGCCTCTTGGACGTATCCAGCTACCAAAACCTTTTTCATCCGGTTGTTGATTTATTATACCTAAAGATAAAAATGATAATTATACCTAAAGATCAAATTTAACATGAAAATTAAGATGACTAGAATTTCAGCATTGTTTACATTAAGTTTCTGCTCCAACAGACTTCTGAGATTAAGATAAAAATGTACATATGTTATAAATTCTAAAATCATGATAACCTTTAGTTTGTTCCTGTTTCTGTCTGGGCTTTAAACAAACAAAAAACTCCATCAAGCTTGCAGAAGCCAAAGTAGTTGCGTCAAAATCTAAGTATGCCTGATATTGACAGTGTTAATATCATCTTCACCATCATCATCATGAGGACCAGTGCCTGGCACACAGTAAAATCAAACCGCCTGTCACTTAGTGGAATCTGTTTATGTTGACCCCTTGTGTGTCGGGGTATAATTTTGTTCCTTAGTGTTTTCTTTGAAATTTATTCTGTTGTTGGGAATATACACAGCTAAAATATACTAATTGAACCATTTTTACATGCACAATTCAGTGACAAGACATTATTTGAGATGTACAATCACTCTCATTTTCTTTTCTGAATTGTTCCTCTCTGATTATCATAAATTCACAGGCCCCCTATGGTTCCTATTTAATCTTTCACATTGCTGTTGCCACTTTGATCCTGTGGTGGCGGTGCCTTGAAGTCAGTTCCGACTCATAGCGACCCTGTATAGGGTTTCCGAGGCTGTAAATCTTTATGGGAGGAGGAAGCCTCATCTTTCTCCTGCAGAACATCTGATAGTTTCGAACTGCTGACCTTGAGGTTAGCAGCCCGATTTGTAACCACTACGCTATCAGAGCTCCTTCTTTGGTCCTGTATGGATAGCATAATACTAAAGGCAGACTTTTTTAATTTTAACTTTTTATTGTGAATTATGTAAAGGTTTACAGAGCAGATCGTCAGTTTTACATTCAACAAATCATGTACTTTGCTTCATTACAATGGTTGCAATCTCCTTCATGTACCTTCTGTAAACAGAGGTGGTGGTGGTTATGTGCTGTGGAGTCAGTTCCAATTCATAGCGACCCTGTATAGGGTTTCTGAGGCTGTAAATCTTTACAGGAGCAGCAGGCCTCATCTTTCTCCCGTGGAACTTCTGGTAGTTTCGAACTGCTAACCTTGAGGTTAGCTGCCCGACTGGTAACCACTGTGCTACCAGAGCTCCTTTCAGTTAACAGTATTTACGTTTATTTCCTTTCACTCTTGCGCTCCTCCCTGTGTCTCCTGCAACCTCATCTTTCCTCTGCCAACCTCTCATAATATATAGCTTGCCCCATCAACATGTCAACATGTGTCTAACCTCCAACCCGTGAATAATTCCCTCCACTTCCTATCTCCTCACCCCGTAATTATCATAGAATGTTTCTTTTATCAAGAAAACCTTTTCTTAACTTTTTACACCAATGATCTCAACAATATTTATTCTTTTGTGTTTGACTAATTTCACTCAGCATAATGTCCTCCAGGTTCGTCCATGTTTTGAGGTGTTTTGCAGATTTGTCATTATTCTTCAATGCTGGGTAGTATTCCATTGTGTGTATGTTCCAGTTTGTTTAACCATTCTTCTGCTGGTGGGCATTTAGTCTGTCTCTGTCTTTTTGTTCTTATGAATAAGTGCTAAGACAGACATTTTTTTTTTTCTTGTTTTGGTTAACTAATGCTTGGTTTCCAGAAGACTTCAGGGGATATTTTTGGTTTAAGTTTTGCTCTGTAGGGTTTTCAGTGGTGGAAGTAGATCACCAGGTCTTTTTTCTGAGACACCTCTGGGTGGACTCGAACCTCCAACCTATCGGTTAGTAGCTGAGTGCTTAATTATTTACATCATATATGGACTCCAGTACATCATAAATCTCAGAAAAAGCCAGTCATCATTTATAATTGAAGTACATAGTAGGTTTTCCCTACTTAAAGTTTCAGGCCCCAACAAATCCCTATCACACGTTTCCATTGATTGCTGTTCCTGTACTGTCTGTAATTATCTCTAGTTGCTTCCCCCTGGGCTCTCTTCCTACCTGAGTGCAGAATGTGAGCCCCATTGGACAGGAGCAGAGTCTCATTTGTGACTGAAACTCCAGACCCTGGTGAAGAGCTTGGCATGCTTTTGTGAGATGGATGGATGAGTGAATGAACAGTGGAGACACTTTCTTGTAAGTATTCAACGAAGACATGTTTACTCAACATCTTTCTTTTTATTCCATCTGTGTTTCCAAATACTATCATTAGAATTGCTCAGCAATCCCTCCTTCCCCTACTTCCTACCTCCTTCCCTGCCCCAAGAGTTTATCTTGGCTGCTGTTTTATATCTTTTGGAAAAAACTCAGTCTCCCTATATGTAAACTGTGAGCACCCCAGGATCATCAAAAGCCTAGGGCTGTATTATTACTGAACCTGAGATGGGACCATGAGCTGCCAGTCCATTTTCCCCTACACCAACCTGTTCTGCTTATTATACATTATAGGTGTGCAGAGGAGGCAAAGGGGACTGAATTGAGAAGGGGCTGAGAACAGTTTGGGGGTTTATTAAATCTTTGTTTTATCTTCATTTCTGGAGCTTGATTAGTTAAACAGGAACATTGACTGCTTCCAATGGCTCCATCCCAATGGCTCCCATTGACTTCACAAGGTCAATCAAAAACTGAAGATTCAGTGTCCCAAGCAACCCCAATCTCCTCTGTATTCCCTAGGGACCTAAGAAATCATAATCACTATGAGCGGGAATCAGCAGAATGTCAGGGGCCTTTGTCCTAATAACAAGATGTCTTGAACCGGAGGGTATCAGTTTCCTCTGCAAGAGGCGGATCAGCAGCTTATTGAAGTCCACTTATTGGACTTCAATGGACAAGATGGACCTGAAGGTGGGGCCTAGGACATTTGTTTTCATAGCTCACAAACCAAGGAGGCCCCAACAATTGAATAAGAACAAGGACTGTCTGGCTAGTCCATACCCTGAGTTCCCAGGAGAACAATCTACTCTCAGATTTCCTACGAGTTACTCACTGCTGGCCCTGAAGAGCCCCTCTGGCTTCCTATTATCTCTGGAGGATGTAGTCACACAGCTTTCTTGCTGGAAGTTTTCTTAATCTGACAAAGGCGGAAGCTGTCCTATGCATTTTTGACTCCTGCCACCCTTCATAGGGCCTAGCTACCCAACAGTAGGCATGGCCTGGTCATGCTCTGGGGCCGGTCCCAACACTCACCAGCAAAAAGGGATACAAGTCCAGGTGCCTGGGGGATTTCAAATAAAATGAAGGAGTCAAGACTTCTCTCTGTCCTCCAGGGAATGAAATGATTTCTGACTTGTGCACCTAGAGCTGTGCAGACCTGTGTGATCTGTCTACTGGGTGATTTTCACATCAGCTTCAGTTTCAGTGACTGAAGACCTTGGGACTTCTTCTTTCCCTTCAGGCCTCAGGCCTAGCAGGCATTTCTTCCAGTGGTCCAGGCAGTGGTGGGCAGAAGAACGGATTTCCCCACTCCGAAGGGCATAGATAACAGGGTTGACCAGGGAGTTGACAAGGCACAGCATGCAGCAGAAGGCGAAGACCTTCTTGATCTGGTCGCTTAGCTTGGTGGCCAGGCTGTAGACCATGAGAGTTAGTACTGGCAACCAGCAAACGAGTAGAACAGCCAGCACCACACCCAAGGTCTTGGCCAACCTTACGTCCAGCCTCATCCTGACCATTCCTGGTTCCTGGTGCTCAGCCAAGCTAGCTACATGCTGATGGGCCTTCCAGAGGACATGCCCGTAGGTGTAGATGATGCCAGAGAAGAGGAAGGTGATGAACAAGAGCCAGCCCAGGAGATAGTTATTGGGGATCAGTGGGAAAAGCTCAGAGCAGGCATTGGGATAGCAAGTCCATCCCATGAAAGGCAGGTAGGAGACCAATGCCGAGAGCACCCACATGATGCCCAGGGCTACCAGTGCCCTTCTCTGGGTGAGTAGAGCTTTGTATGCAGGTGGGTGGTGCAGGCAGAGGTAACGGTCAATGGCTGTAAGTAGCAGACTGCCCACAGAGGCTGTAAAACTCACGGTCACGCTGCCAATCTTCAGCAGGAAGACAGTATTGGAATCCATGCCACCAAAGACATGGAAATGTACAAAACTGCTGGCAAAGACCACACTAGCCAAGAAGTCAGCCCCAGCCAAACTGCCAAAGAACAGGTATGAAGGCTTCCTGCGGAGCTGGCGGGAGCAGAGGATCAGGCAGAGCAAGGCCAAGTTCTCCAAGGCACTTAGCAGGCCCAGAAGGGTGCAAAGCACCACAACAACTATTCGTTGGGGGCAGCTCAGGATCATGTAGTCCTTCATGGTGTAGAAATCCAAGTCACCCTCGGAGACATTGGCATTCATCAGGCATCTCTCCATGGGGTGGACTCCTCAGCTTCAGTTGGGCTTGCCAAGAAGCCTTTGCTGTGGTACAATGGAAAGAAGAAAAAAACCTTTTTCACTTCTGCACAATAATGACTTCACACAATAATGGAATACTCCTTTATTTGTATGACTGGGTCACATACTGAAATATCAATTTACATTTCACTATCCTGTATTTTCCTCCAATCTTGATGCCATGTTTTTGGCATTAACAACCATTTGTGCTCATCCCAAAGAGAGGTGACCCAACAGAATGTGGAAATCATCAGACAATATCTTTGATATTCCATGTGAGTAAAGTTTTACTAGTGGTAATACAGAAATGGCTGCAAACATACATTGACAGAGAACTTCCAGAGGTTCAAGCTGGATTCAGAAGGGGCTGTGGTATGAGGAATATCATTGCTGATGTCTGATGGATCTTGGCTGAAAGCAGAGAATACCAGAAAGATGTTTACCTGTGCTTTATTGACCAAAGGCTTTCGATTGTGTGGATCATGACAAGCTATGGGCAACATTGCGAAGTATGAGGATTCTGGAACACTTAATTGTGCTCATGAGGAATCTGTACATGGACCAAGAGGCAGTTGTTTGAACAGAACATAGGAACACTGAATGGTTTAAAATTAAGAAAGGTGTGCAACAGGGTTGTATTCTTTCACCATACTTATTCAAACTGTATGCTGAGCAAAGAATCCGAGAAGCTGGATTCTATGAAGACAAACATGGCATCAGGATTGGAGGAAGACTCATTAACAACCTGCGATATGCAGATGATATAACCTTGCTTGCTGAAAGTGAAGAAGACTTAAAATATTTACTGATGAAGATCAAAGAGCACAGCCGTATGGATTACATCTCAATGTCAAGAAAACAAAAATCCTCAACACTGGACCGATAAACAAGATTCTTATCAACAGAGAAAAGAGTGAAGTTGTCAAGGACTTCATTCTTCTTGGATCAATTATCAACACTCATGGAAGCAGCAGTCAAGAAATCAATGATGTACTGCATTAGGCAAATCTGCTGCACAGGACCTTTTTAAATTGCTGAGGAGCAAAGATGTCATCTTGAGGACTAAGATGTGCCTGTTCCAAGCCATGGTATTTTCAATAACTTCACATGCATGCGAAAGCTGGACAGAGAATAAGGAAGACCTTAGAAGAAGGTCTTTTGAGTTATGGTGTTGGAGGAGAATATTGGAAGTGCCATGGGTTGCCAAAAGAACCAACAGATCTGTGTTGGGAGAAGTGAAGCCAGAGTGCTCCTTGGAGGTCAGGATGGCCAAACTTCGTCTCTCATACTTTGGATATATTGTCAGGAGGGACCAGTCGCTGGAGAAGGGTATCCTGTTTGGTAAGGTGGAGGGTCAGAGAAAAAGAGGAAGACCCCTAGTGAGATGAATTGGCAAAGTGGCAGCATCAATGAGCTCAAGCGTGGCAACAATTGTGAGGTTGGCCCAGGACTGGGCAGTGTTTTGTTCTGTTGTGCATAAGGTTGCTATGAGTCTATACCGACTTGATGGCACCTAACAACAACAACATATGCAGATGATACAACCTTGCTTGCTGAAAGTGAAGAGGACTTAAAATACTGATGAAGATCAAAGACCACAGTTAACAGTGTGGGCTGCACCTCATTATAAAGTAAACAAAAATCTTCACCACTGGACCAATTATCAACATCCAATCAATGGAGAAAAGATTGAAGTTTTCTTGGACAATTTTGCTTGGATCAATCATCAACCCTCACGGAAGCAGCAGTCAAGAAATCAAATAACATGTTGCATTAGGCAGATCTGCTACACAAGACCTCTTTAAAGTGTTAAAGAGCAAAGATGTCAGTTTGAAGACTAAGGTACGCCTGACGTAAGCCATGGTATTTTCAATGACCTCATATGTGTGCAAAAGTGAGACAGTGAATAAGGAAGACCATAGAAGAATTTGAGTTATGAGATATTAAAAGTACCATGGACTGCCAAAAGAACAAACCAATCTGTGTTGGAACAAGTGCAGCCAGAGTGCTCCCTGAAAGCTAGAATGGCCAAATTTCATCTTTCATACTTCAGACATATGGTAAGGTGGGACCAGTCACTGAAGAAGGATACCATGTTTGGTAAAGTGGAGGGTTGGAGTTAAAGAGGTCGACTCCCAACGAGATAGATTGGCACAATAGCGGCAGCGATGGGTTCAGGTGTAGCAACAATTATGAGGTTGGCCCAGGACCAGACAGTGTTTTGTTCTATTGTGCATAGGGTTGGTATGAGTCAGTACCAACTCGATGGCACCTAACAACAACAAAAACACCCCCCTGTATTTGCCCTTTCTCCATTCAAGAGGTGCCCAGGTCTGGATGTAGAATGCAAGAAGCAGAAATGGCTTGCAAGCTTTTTGGTTATTTGTTTTCCAAAAGACGATTTTAAGACTTCCTTTGAAAGTAAGGGAAATCCCTCTGGGCCAAAAACCACCATGAAATCAAAGTCAAGAAGAAATGGAATCTGGTGTCATAAATTTTTCTCTCTCTCTCTTTTTTCCCCTTGCTATTTTCCCTTTTATTTTCTTCTTTAAATTTTATATATTTTGATGTTGTTGATAATATGCACAGCAAAGCACATACCAGTTCATCAGTTCCTAGCTGTACAATTTATTGACATTGATTACATTCTTTGCATTGTGCAGTCATTCTCAAGGTACTTTTCTGAGTCATTCCTCCCTCATTAATATGAAATCATAGCCCCTGAAGGTTTCTTATCTCATCTTTTAAGTTGTTATTGTTGATTTGATCCCCTAGAGATAGTTCTTAAAAGAGTATAATGCTTAAGGCAGACATTGCTTACTAGTTAAACTAAATGATTGGCTTTAAGAAAACTTCAAGAGGTGTTTTTGGTTTAAGGTTTCAAGATTGTCTCAAGGCAACAGTTTCAGGGGTTCATCTGCCCTCCATGGATCCAGAAAGTGTAGAGTCCATGAGAATTTTAAATTCTGTTCAGCATTTCCCTGCTTTAGATCAGGATTCTTCTATGAAATCTTTGATAAAAAATGCTCTGTAATGGCAGCCTAACCCTAACCCATTCTGGTCTTGTGACAAAGGACACAATTAGTCACACATTCCATATCCTCTTCCTTTTCTTGACTCTCCTTCTGTCTCTGTTGCTCCTGGTGA